TAACGAGGTAACCCTTAGCAGGTGTGTGAGGAGGTGAATCAGGACCAGGCGCCACCTGGTGGAGGAAGGAAGACAAACACACAAACCACACAGACAGGAGTCCTAACAGTAATGCATAATTCATAGTAGATCTGGAAGCATTTGCTTTGGGATGGAAACCTTATATGTGTAAAATCATTCCTTTATTACATACATTTGTAACAAAAGCCACATTTTGTTAGCTTGTCTGTCTGCCATATTAAGCAATATGATGTGTTGAACTAGATCTGCTATTTTTGACATACATGACAGGATAGGAAACGGTGAAAACGCAGCTTTAGTTATCTGTTCAAGTCCCAATGTTGAATCTTTATAGAAAGTTCAACTCTAAAATGAAACACAAGTAAATTTCATCTTTTTGTTACTGCAATATTAAACTAGCTGGAAAGCTTAAGAACTATTGTAACATAGATTATTTAACTTTACTGACAAGTTAGGAGGTTGATCTGATTTTTTTGTGCTTAACTTTGTCTTTAAATGAAAACAAGATTAAACCAGAGAGGAACCCCGCTCTCTTTGCAAGGCCACCCACTCCAACTCTGGTGTCTGCATGTGGGGAAGTATATTACCCAGACCTCTTCCCAGTTATGATGAATCCCCAGCCCTGAGAAGACTGGCCAGGCCGACCTCCATTCGCCGCAAATTAGATTCTCTGATTACAATGCCAGCCACCTCCCAACATCTGATAAATCTTTAGCGAGAACCCAAAAGCAAATCCCTCCAGTTCCACTGCAGTTAATAATTTAACGTTGGTGGTAGGGGGAGGTGTATTTATTATAATTCAAATGAAGCTGTGGAGGGGTTTTGAATTGATGGAAAAACCTGAAAAATGGTTTAAAGTTAAATTTTTAAAAAAGTCGATATACTGAATTCATGCCCTGTATGACACAAATGGTATGCCATTACAGGAAGGTCTCATGAAAGGTGAAATGCATAAATATGTTTATTTATGAGCAGGTCTGAGCAAAGATCATGGAAAATGTCAGAAGAGTGACATGTTTGCCTAAGAGCTTCTAGTGGCATATTACTTGTAATGGATGATTAAAATGACGTGGTGCTGGTGTTGGGGCTTGGTGTAAACGCCTAATTTGCTCTGCACAGGCTTAACAAACACTGAGGTTACTTAGAAGCACTAATTTGACTGTATAAAGGATGCAAATGAGATTAGAGAGGAGCCTGCAGCCTGTAAGCATTTTTGTTTGTAGCAGTTGTTGTCGGCTTTGTTCTGCCGAGGCTTAAAAGCCTCTGGGTTTTCGCTGTGACCCAACACAGCAGCTGATTCAACTGATTCGTTCCAGATTTCCGCTCAAGGTTGGCAAATTCCTCTGATGCTGTGTTGGTCTGAGGAAAACTGTGAAGCCACGGGTAAAAAGATCTGTGGTATGCTCCTTTTAAGTTAACAGGTTTGCACAGGTTATTGCAAATAGACTTCATGGTCAATAGATCCTGATGTTTTGTCACTGGAGTCATAATACATGAAAAGAAATACAGAATACAGAATAATCCTTTGATAATCTGCAGGCTTAGCTAATATAATCTATTAGATAAATAACAGAACTCACAAAGATTCAAACAGGATATGATTTAAAAATAGTTTATCTCAATTAACATGGCTAACTGCCTGGTCAGACCCTGTAATTCAGTGAAAGGATGGAGTCAAATTTTAAAAATGGCCGCCCAGGAGAAGGCAAGTGGCTGGAAGTTGGAGGGGATTTTGCTGCCTTTGACTGGGAAAGCCCATTTTAAAGGAATAGTACACCCAAAACATGATTAGCCTTAATTTTCTACTCACCCCCATGCTGAACAACACTCTGGAGT